CGAAGCCATGTGACCAGAACCGTCATGCGCTTCTGATGGAGCTGGTGGACGGCACGCTGTTGAACAACATCACTGCATTGGGTGACCCGGAAAAGGTGTACAGGCGTTCTTTGGACCTCATGATCAAACTGGGCGAGCACGGCCTCGTGCACGGTGACTTCAACGAGTTTAATCTCATGATTACGGAAGACATGCGCGTCATTGTGATTGACTTCCCGCAGATGGTCTCCACGAACCATCCCAACGCGGCGGAATTATTTAGTCGGGACGTGGAGAATCTTGCGAACTTCTTTCATCGGCGATTCAAAGTGACGACGCTCTTTTATCCGACGCTTGAAAAGAACGTGGAGCGCAAGGCGGAATTGGATCGCGTCGTCTTTGCAAGCGGGTGCTTCAGCAGCAGACAACAGCAGGATCTTGAGCGTCTTCTACAAACGCAGCTAACGGCCCAAGATGAGGTTGACAGTGAAGAGGAAGACGGCCAAGAGGAGGATGAGGAGGAGGCAACGACTCTCTCGGGAAACGCGTCGGTGGATGTTGTCTCTGCCGGTGGTACAAACGCCTGCGGGGTCCATGCGGCTGATGGCAGTGAAGGGGAGGGGCAGGCGCAGCGGCACCCTCCGGGCGAAGTAGGGGATGATGACAATGGCGAGACGAGTAGTGTGGCGCGGTCCCTCGACGAGGTGGTTGACGAGGCGGCTATTGAACGACGTGGGCAGCGGCAGCAGAATGTCAACTTCAACCCGGACGGCACCGTCAACGAGGAGTACGTGCGGTCGCAGGTGCGGCGCAACATTCGTCGCCAAGACAACCACCAGTTTAATTTGGGCCTTCATCGCAACGTGCAGAAGGGGCGACAGAAGCAGAAGATACGGCGTCAGATCAAACAAGGGATGAGCAACGGCTTTTTTGACTGAAGCCACTGAATGGGGGAGGGAAAAAAAAAGATGGGGAGGGGAGAGGGATGCGACTTTCGTCAATTTCTTTTTTCCTTTTTTTTTTTCTTTTCACCTGTTTGTTTTATTCCGGCGTTCCTCCGTGCTTTCTTTTTGTCACTGGGGCATTTGTGAGGAATTACATTGCCGGTACGACTCCTGCAAGGGCCTTTCATTGATTTCTGCGTGTGTGTGTGTGTGTCTGTAGAAGTGGAAGTGGTTTTGTTTTCCTTCTCTTTCCACCGTTGTGTCGCACGCATGCACGGGTGCACATTTTCAGATGTAATTGCCTGCATGCGCCTAATCCATGCCGCGTCAATGACTTCTACGCCTAAAGTCACGGAAACGGAGGAATTCAAATAATTTCATTATTTAACAATAATACAAGAGAAAAAAAAAATAAAATAAAAGAAAAAAGGATGCATACGGGCATATTTTTATATTTCATATAAAAATATATGATCGGAGGAAAACGATTTTAAAGGAGGAGGAGTGTATTGCGCATTAAACATCAATTGCTGTTTTTTATTTTTTATTTTTTAAATTAATTCATTTATGTGTCGCTGTTTTTCACGGTTTGCTTTACTGGATTGTAACGCCTGGTCTCTTTCTCTCTCTCTTTTTTTTTTGGTTTGGTTTGGTTTTTGTTTTTGCCTGGTATTTGGCTGTAGCATAAACACCACAGGACCTGACATACCCAGCGAGTGAAGGATAGATCAATAGATAGATAGCCGGCTAGATCACACATATATACACACAAGCATACATCAGCATACAAATATACATACAGGAAGGAGTGAGAGGAAAAGACGGGGAAACAACAACAACAAGAAGAAGAAGAAGAAGAAGAAGGAAGGAATCAGAGAAGAGTGGTTGAAATGGAGGTAACGCATCAGCAACCGACATCGTGCTTTAGCCCATTTTCACCTTTTTTGCAGGAAATCACAAACACAAATGTCTTGGGTCACGAAAATAAGGAGAATATCCCTCCTGCTCTTTTTGGAAAGAGCCACAATGAGGGCGGAAGTGGCTGTAAGAGCGGCTGGAAGAACGGCGGCATCACACAACTTCTCAACAATTCACTGAATAGCTGCTGCTGCACACCCGTAACAAACCGCCAGCGTGCACATCACACGGGGTTAACTCCTGGAAATAAATGTGCTGCGGGACCACGGGGTGTCAGCGCACTGGTTTCCACCAATACGAATATTGCCGATATCTCCCTGATAACGGAGAGCGATGCGGGGGACCTGAAGGAAAGCAATTTCTTCATTACCCCAGTGAAGCGGTGGGACGGTGCTGGTGCTGGTGCCACCACGAATGCCGCACATGCAGCCGCAACCCCTTGTTTTCGGCAGGGCAAGCTGTGTGAGCTCTTTAATGAATCCGTCTCTCTTCCGCTACCCGTCTCCACCCCGAATGTCAGCGTTGAGTCAACTCTGTTGCCAAGAAGCGTCTTACTGGAGAGTGACGATGATGACAGCGTGAAAGAGGTGCAGACAATTAAGAAGCCTTGCGTATCTGAGGTACCCCGCAGCGTCGTGCCGCGTCAGCTGGACTTGCGCTCATCGCAGGAGGATCCTTCACAGCAGCGGCCGGTGGAGGGACAGAAAGCCTTCCCAGCCTCTGCGTCTATGCACGGCATTGCGCATCCCGCACCCCAACATCATGCTGTGCAGCACAGTGGCCCACCGCCGGCGTACCCTCGCCACGAAAAGCGTCAGAATGTGACACGAGTTGTGGGCAAGACGGCCTCTCTTATTGCCGTGGGTGGGCGTCGAGTTCCCATCGACAAGTTACACCTTCTTCTTCGTCCTGCAACATCCGAGGGGAAGAGTGGCGCCAAGGTGAATGATTCCACCACAGGTGGCAAGGGAAGCGTCTCTTCTTCTGCGTTTGACCCCATCACTCCGGCACCACTTGCGCCCTCCTTGCGACCAACGCCGACAGCTGCGAAGGCAGTGAAGGTGGTATCGCCGCCCGCAGCAGCTCCGGCCCCACTCATCAGGAGGTCCTTGCCCGTTCATCAACACTGTGACTACGTCATCCTGGAGTTTGCGCGAGGAGTTGTTATGCGTCTTCAGGTGGATTCCCCTCACCCTTTGCCCGTGATAGGACGCCGCTATCTTGCGGCGATCAAAAGCAGTCGTAGTCCATACGACAATGTCGCCTACGAGGATGTCGGTGTCTGTGTGTATTTGCAGCGTCACCACGGTGATGCCAACACGACCTCCGGACCGGTGCAGAGGTCGGCGCTCTACGACGGCACCATCATTCGTGAGGTGGGCGAGCATATCGCTGCAGATGCCGCGCGATTGCAGGAGCTGAAGAAAGCGTGTAATAACGCCATTGTGGAGTGTCGCAAGCAGTTCCGCTTCCTCAACCTACCGTTTGAACTTGTGGACGTCTGCTACACGTTTGATCGAAGCATCTGTATTGTTTACTATAACATCCAGCCGCAGGAGGGCACAAGCAGCCAACCGAACGTATCCAGGCTTTTGCGTATGCTGCAGTTTAATTTGCGGACTAAAGTCTTCCTGAAGGGGATTACCAGCGGCGAGTAGCAGGGAGTCATTCGTCCACGTTCACACAAGTATTGCATGCAGAAAGAAGGAACTAAAAATGGGGATGGAAAGAGGGCTGGTTTGAATGCCGTGTGTCCCCAGGGCCCGCTGCATCATAGAGCGAAGGAGGGGAGAAAAGAAAAGAAAAAAGCCACACGGCGGAACTCCACAAGAAAGGTAAGAAATAATTACCACAAGGGAGGTAATGTTTTGTTTTAAATCCTTAGAGAGAACTTCGACGACGGGCAAAGGGGGAGGGGGCGGTGGGACGGAGGCAACAAGAGAAACACACAGGGAGAACATAAAATAAAAATGAGCTCGTGGAACAAAATTGTACGCGTGCGTGCTTCCCATGGAATTGAGGGGGAAATAAAAACAACAACAACAAAGAAAACAGTAAAAAATACGAGATGAGAGCCTTACGGGCAGCTGCACTCGTGTGTAGTTGTTCTGTTTGTCTTCTCCTTCTGAAATGAAATAAAACATGTGAATTATGACATTGCTTTTTTTTTTTTTTAAATATTATTATTGTTTTTTATCTTTTTTTTTTTTTTTTTTGTGTGTGTTGTGGCTCTGTGTGTCGATGGCATCGCCGGGGACTGCGCCGTGTTGTCGCCACCCAACCGCGCGCCACGTGGACGACGCGATGCCCCGCCGGGCATGAATGCTGCCAGCCACTGTAGAAGTTGTTCTCCACTGCCACTCCTTCAGGCGAGTAAGTCACGGAGGAGGGGAGGGACTCTGCGCGTGTTTGCGTGCATTCTTTTTTTTTTTTTGGTTGTAACGAAACGCTGCCGTTTTTTTTTTGCTTTTTTTTGTTTTTTGCTAAAATTCTCCCCCCCCCCCCCCCTTTTTTTTTTTTTTTTTTAACCGCGGCGTTCGATTACACCACAGGCATACATGCACGCACAGCAAATATATCTACGAAGTAAACGGTGGACACAAAATAAAAAAATATATTCCTCAGTATTTGTGCATAGAGAGAGAGGGAGAGGGAGAGGGAGGGAGGAGGGAGGGACTGTCCATTGCAGCAGCCGTTGTTATTTATTTATTTATTTTTTAGGCCTGCGATGAATGAAGTTGAAGAAACAAAACAACAACAAAAAGGAGAGAAAGAAACAAAATGACGATGGCAGCCATGGACATTTTACCGTTTGGAAACTCCCCTTCATTTACACGAACACATACACTCGGTTGTTGTTGTTGTTGTTGGTATCATGGATTTTTATTTTTATTTTTATTTTTGTTAGATGCACACATTTCAAGAAACAAGCCAAATAACAGACAAACTTGCATATATATATATATATGTATATATGCATTGGCAGAGAAACAATGGGATATGTAGATACATGTATATCTGTATGTACATGTATATATGATAAAAGCAAAGGGGAAAAAAAAAAGGAATGAAGAAAGGAAGACTGCGATTGTTTCTTTGAAATATACATGTTGTTGTTCCTGTTGGCTTTTAAAAAGATTTACCTGAATGCCCCTACCCACCCCACCCTTTTTTTATTTTATTTTTATTTCTGATGGGGCGGCAGCTTTTTTTTTTTTTTTTTTCTATTTTAGATGGTAATACATTTCAAGTTTTCTTTCTTTCTTTTTTTTTTTTTTCTCTCTCTTCTCGTCGGCACCGCCACGGCCAATGCACGCCGGGCGAACACGCTGTGGCGATGCTGCCAGAGGACTGAGAGGGCCGTGCCATGAGAAGAAGAAGCGCCAAAAAAAAAAAGGAAAAGAAAAGGCCTTAATGGTTGAGGGAACGAAGGGAAGTGAGCACCACCGCTGCGGAGGCAGTGATGCTTCTCTCGCACCTTTTTTTTTTTTTTTTACAATGCACTCCTTCGTCCGTGCCATTGATGTCCCTTATATATATATCTCTTTTTTTTTTTTTTGGCAGCTTTTGGTGGTAATAATTTTGTTTTTCTTCTTTTTCTTCCTCTTTTTTTTTCTTTTTCCTTGGAAAAGTGATATTTATGTTTTTCCCCTCCTCCTCCTGCCCCATGGTCTTCTTCTTTTGTCTCCTTCGGGGTGAAGTGGGATGAATCTTCATTCACTCCTTCCGCACACGAGGAGCACTGTCATGCGTCCATGACGCCTGCGAGGAGCATGGTGAGTGAGGGAGTGTTTGCGTACTGGAATACCGCGGCGGTGATGCACGAGGCGTTGAGGCCTCAATGCTTGTGGCGACTGGGGGACGGCGGTAACGGATTGCTGGCCATTTTGTAGCCGATTGAGGGCCAGCATTGAAGGATTAATGAGCACAGAAGATACACAAATTTTCACAGCCTTCTTTCTTTCTTTTTTTCTTTTTTTTGGGTGGAGGCGATGCGGTCTTGTCGGGATGTCTCCCCTGCCCGGGAAGACTCGGTGTGTTTGTTAGGGGGCAGCGAGTACCACCCAGTGATGCTG